CAGTCAGGTGCGTCCACTTGATTAATTGATCATCAGTAAGGGACACAGCCTTCATTAAAGTAGAAGCACAGCTACATTTCCGACTCTCCAGACTTCAGTTGACATGCTTAAAGTGAGTAACAGGACTAGAAAGACTGGACAGATGCAGACGAAAGCCTCTTCTATGTCAAATATAACACGACAGGTCTGCAGATCTGCATTGCTTCTGGAACGGTGACCGTTGGACAGATGAGGCCAGAGAGGAGATGTTGGGTTATGGTCAGGCTTGGGCTCGTTTTGCAGCTGTGCGCAGGGCACCGCGCAGTCACTGTGACGGGTTACTGTTCTGAATAGCAAAGAATTCTAAAGTCAGCTGCGAGGCCATCTGTCTGACGGCTATAGTGTGGCTGAAATTGGGTCACTCAACAGGACATGGTCAAGATGTCATAAAGCATCTAAACTGAAAAAGGTCTGCTTCCTTTTTTTTTTTTTTTTAAGAATAATCAAGACATTTAACAGAATTTGGCCAATTTTTTCTATGAATACTTTGACCATTACTAGCACAAAATAGGATTTTTTTCTTTTTTTTTTTACAAGCAAAAAGTACATCTTAGAAAAGTCAGAGTAAAATTGATAGCTACGAAAGCATAGGCATCAGTTGGTCTGAACCCCTTAATTACGGTCATTTCACGCTCGTCGTTCTGCCTGTTATCAACTGTCACAAACCCTTACTGGAAAATCAATAAATCGGCAGCTGTAAATAGTTGTTGTTGAGCGGCTGGCTGATACAGAGATGAGATAATGGGGATCATTCCTGTCTGCTCGGTGTTTCTGAAATCTCTATCCCTGTGCAGACGGGCTTGATACAGTCAAATAACAATTTCTTCCTCCCTCCTCCCCCATCTGATACAAACCATTTACCCCAATAATGTTCTCTTCAAAATTCATTTAACTACACTAAAATATCTGGTAGGAGCCACTTCCATATATGATTCCAGAAAGACGAGCAGTCTTTTTCTGCTGTCGTCTCTCCTCTCAGCCCCTCTATGTCACGCTGCAGCTGAACAGAGCTTATAAACTTGTGACTAATACGGTGTCTGTGTGATTGAAAGCAGAGCTAATGGCATTCCGGGGGTTTGCTCCTGCCTCCGCCGTTGCTGCTGCTGCATGGTTTGTTGGGAAAGCTCTGATGTTCACTTCTCCAAAGCAGATAAATGCTGAGTTACAGAGTCTATGGTTGAAGCATTGTCAGAAGAGGTGTCTCGCTCTGATTTGCATTCACGGGTGATATGGACCTTAACCCTGTAATGCCAAATGTATCATATTTGATACATACAGCTTCTGAAATGTTTTGCGTCTGACACCTTTTGCATGATCTAATGGTAAAAACTTTGCCCAAAATCCTATTGTACACAATCAGATACACCTGATAACAGGGGGCAGAAGACCACACAAAAAATAATCTTGACTTATCGCATAGTAATAAATGATTAATATTAAATTTAAAAAGTATTTCTGTTTTTTTCTTTTGACATATTTTGTTAAAATGCCAAATAAGGAATTCAAACCAAAAAAAAGTAATTTGCTGTTTTGTTTTATTCTTGGATCAGGCTTTAAAGGGTTAACACAGTTGTCTTGATTTCAGCTTTGCTTTAAGTTTTTTTCTTTTTTCAATTCCCCTTTCACAAAAAAATGTTGGGTCTACCTACCGAGCAAACCAAATTTCCTTCTCCATCCTAATTCTAAAGGTCACATTTTGTTGTAGGGGCTGAACAGTGGCGTGGCCATGGCGGCATCGCCTCACTGCAAGAAAGTTCCTGTTTCAGATCCTGTCCGGGGAGTTCGCATATTCTCTCTGTGCATGCGTGGGATCAGTCCGGGTACTCTGGCTTCCTCCCGCTGTCCAATAACATGCATTTTAGGTTAATTGTTGGTTCTAAATCGCCCCTAGGAGTGAGTGTGAGTATGTATGTTTTTTATATTTCTTTCTTTATCTCTGTGCATGTCTGTGTTGGTCTGACTTCCTGTCCAGGATGTATCCTGCCTCTTGCCCACATGGATGATATGATGGTAGTTTGTACATTTACCACAATGGAATATTGTGTAGCGCTGTTGGATACGATTGTGGACAACGTATCATCTGTATCTCTTACGTGAAGTTCCATCTTTGAGCTGAATTCAGAGAGGGGCAAATTTCTTGCCCCAATCACCAACAAACTGAATCCAGCATTTTTTTTTTGGAAAAACAGCCATTTTTTCCAGCGATCATGCTTATTTCAGTCATCATTTTTTTTCCACTTTGAACATACGACCAAGCAACAGTTTTTCTCATATTCCAGCTCACCTGTCCCAAGCCGCAGATGGGAGGCTGTTATTGTCACAACTGTGGGTTCGATGTCGAAGCACCAACCTGCCCACTGGAAGGCTACAGATTGGTAGAGGCCATGTGTTTTTTCCACTCTACCCACCAGACGTGCAGAGTTTGAAAATGACTTCGCCCTCTCTCTTGCTCGCTGCACTGGCATCACGTAACATCTCCTGTCCTCGCCTGACACATGTAAAACGACCCGTAATATGCGGTCCAGAAAGGCACAAAGGAAATCACAGACAGGGGAATTACCCCCCTCTCGTCTGCAGCATTGTTATTTTCCCATCACTTTGGTGAAATTTTAGCATGTGGTGGGAGTTGGATGTTTACAGAGTAACAATTACACGCCGAAGCGAGGACAATATGCCCGACACAGCCACACGGCCGCGTGTTGGGACAGAGAGGGGACTATGAGAGGAGGTTTAAAGAAATGTAGCATCGGTCTTTGGAAGACTCGTTTTCTTTTTGGCCTTATTTAGCAAATGACAAATGATTTGGTCGGGGATGCGTAACGGAGCCTGAGTGCATGGGCAGAGGCCTTTTTCTCAGCAGCTGGTCAGCCAGGACAGATGTGCAAGCGGTCTTCTTTGTGGAAGGACTAGTTAATGCAGCGGTTTAGTGTTAGTGGTCGCGTTTTCAAATTGCCGAACTGGGAAAGGCTTTCTCCCGGCAGGCTGGGGTGCAGAGCCGAGGTGGAGGTACGTGTCTGCGGTTGCTCTCTTGTCTGTACGCCATCACAATTGTGAATTAGCTTAATTGGCCTTCACAAAGGTTGAACTGAGTGTCTTTCTGTCTTTTTTCCTTTCTTTTTTCGTCACGTGTGTGCTGAATGTCTGTAAGTGTGAATCCTTAAAGAATATTTTTTGTAGGAGGGCGGAGGAAGCAGCGACGTGCACACAAATACAGAAGCAGCAGTTTTAGTTGGGGTCTTTAAAGTGCACATTCTGCTCTGTCGTATCACTCTTCTGCCATAAAGATGTTTAGATGTTGTTGTTTCAGGCTTTGAGTTGAATAAAAAGTTCTGACTGATCGCAGCAAATATGCTACAAAAATATCTGTGTTGTCAAACGGGTAAAACATAACAAATAGGCCACCGTGAGACTAAAATGTCTATTTTTAAGTGCTTGTTTGCATTTTTGCATTTCTCGTTTTTTTTTTAAAATATAATTAATTAAATTTTAACTTTAGAATACACACTGTCAAGAAAATGTCAAATTGGGGAAAACTGTAGAATGAACTAAATACTGAGTATTTGGAAGCAGAAGGCGGAAGAACTAGATTTATATATATTTTTTTTAACATTTTGCTTCAAAGCAATCTAAAATATATGCTTATATCTTCTTTTTTGGCACCGTATATTGTGAAAATGACAGGTTTTCCATCATGGATTAAACAGAAGCCTGTACATTTCCTCTATAAATTCATTATATACTTGAAGTACATTTTGTTTATTATAAATTTGAGATAGATTTGTATTCTGACGGTTGTTAGAATGTGAACCATTATTTCTCTGATGGCACATTGTTGATGATGCAAAAAAAAAAGATGTGCGCAGCTCTCCCGCCGTCTCTGAAGGTTATAGGACAAAAAACCTGTAACCTTTGTTTTCTGCATTAGAACAACAGAAAGAACAGAGGGAGTCCAGACTTTTTGCAAATCAGATTAATTACGCGTAAGCCTCTGTGAAGTTCACAAAAGACTAGTAATGGGTTTAAGACACAGCACTCCGGGTTTGAACAGTAAAGCCGAGCCGATTGTCTCATTTAGAAGACGAGTTTGTTGACTCTAGTTATCTGTGGCGTTGTTTCCTAAACGCTCTGCTAACTTTTGGCTGCCGGTCATCAAAGGGCAGGACATGTGTCTGCTCCCCTCTCCAATGAGGGAACTCCTCAGCTCCGATGCACCAACCACAGCTGCTGGATTCATCTGAAATGCCTGCGCCTTTGTCCATTGTATAAGCGTGCGTGTGTGTGTGTGTGTGTGTGTGTGTGTGTGTTGTTTAGAGCCTGTGTGTCGCCCTGTCCGTGGCCAGGCCAAGTGTGGGTGTGAGGTGCCCGGTGCTCAGGTTACTCATTCCTCTCCGGCACAGGGCTGGCTCTCCGTCTCACAGTTTAGCAGAAGAGAAGGGGTAGCGCACAGAGGCGAGCTGTGTGGGTTATTTATAGATCACTTCTGGCCTACTTGGCAACAGGAAGGAGATGAAGACAAGGCAAGGAACTATGGAGGCCAAGGAGGAACAAAATAGAAAAATGGAACGAGAGCAAAGTCACTTTTTGCTGCTGCGGCTGACCACTGAGGATTCAGACTCCACTTTAGGACTTTAAAGGCTCAGACACGGGTCGGTGTGTGCATGGTGACGGGAAACGCAGTAAAGAAAGCAGAAAAACACAATATACACCAGGTCATAAGTCAGTAACTGTTGTCTCAAAATGCTCCTCAGTCATCACTGGTCCTCTTCAGCTTGGATTAGCCGATCCAGTCTTTTTTTTTTTTTAATCCAATATATTTTTCAGATGTGCTGCAACATGTCAGGAGCGATGCTGCAACTATGAATCTTTAACATTGCTCTTCATTAAGGTTCCTCCACAAATAGGATCCAGCTGAGGAGATCCCAGACTGCGCTTCATAAAGTCAAACAGGCCTAAATGAGGAGATGACTTCATCCGCCCCGCCTGTGCGCTACGGTCCCACTTTGATTGTAGTCGCAGGCAAGCCGCTCAGGCCTTATACGGTAGTCAGCTTTGAGGTATTTCACCTTAATCCGCCACAGGAATTTTTGTCCTCGGGCCGCAACCTACGAAAAGGGGAAACAAGGAATTAGCATTGGTAGACATCGGCTTCGGAGAATTTTCAGTGCGTCGTCTGTCACATGTTTTTTTCTTTAAATAACGTTTCTGTTCAGAATGACGCTGCCACCATTTGGATTTGTGACATCCTGGCTTTCTTTTACAAATATAAGTTTGTCCAAGCAGGGATAGGCCGTAGTGACCCCTGGATTGGAAATGGATTGATGGATAAACACAATCCTCATTGCTTTTGGAGGGATCGTTCAAAACCATCATAAAAAAAGTTGTTTCTGTAAGGAGCCTGTAAAATGACTAATTAATGTGTTTTTTAACTTGTGGTAACTGTAAAATATTGAAGTCATTCCCTTAAACTTAAATTTAAGGTCCTGTCTAAACATCTTTTTTTGTGCTTAACTTCCATTAAGCTTCTTTCTAGTGCATTTCTGTAATTATTTTCTTAGTACTGCTTGGCATAAATTTAAAAAATAATTTTCCGGGTTACCTATCATCATCTGAAGCCGTGCAGTCCAGATTTGAGATTTTCATAGCCACTGATTCAACTGTAATTTTATGCTAATTCACAGTTCAGAAACACTAACGATAATCCAGTGAACTACTGTGTTTGCACTGGTTCCCTTTTAGATGACATCCAGTCACCAAGAAAACTACATTTGGAATTAAAAATGAATTTCTTAAAAGGGTTTCAATTCAATAATACATTCCTAATGTAATAATACATTTGACATTTTCTTCCCCAATTCTTGGAACATACCTGAAGTAGGTCTAAACCTCAGAAAATAAGTTTATCTAATAAAGTAAAATGATCATGCAATCTCCCTATTTTTTTTATTTTAGGTCAAACATTGCATATGATCCTCTATGATGTATATGGATATTCCCGTGTGTGTGTGTGTGTGTGTGTGTGTGTGTGTGTGCGCACAGTGTTTTCCTAACAGTGTGCCTCTATTCTACTGCAGTGTTTTCTATGTTTAAGTTGACACAGCTGGTGGGCAGGATGTCAGCTTCAGGCCTTTGTGTCTGTTTGTAATTCTCCCCATAGAGAGAGCTGCCTTCCTCGGCTAAAAATAGCCCCTGATTGTGTGCATGTGTGTGTCTGGATGTACATGTGCGTGCGTGTCCCGCCTCGCCTCGGTGTGGTCAGAGAGGGGGTGATGGTCTTCCGTGTAGCATTTCCATTTGTGTGTTTTATCTTTCCCGTGTCCACTGTTCCATGTCTCGATGTATTTGCTCTGTACATCACAGAGTGTGTGTGTGTGTGTTCGTGTGTGTGTGTGTTTTTGTGTGAAAGATGATGCTGGTCTTAATGATGATGACTGTGTCTACTGTGTTGCATGTGGAGACTGGTTTGATGTGACACACGCTGTAAAAGATAGCCAGGCCATTTCCTTTTCGGAGAAGTGTCCTCTCCAATTCCAAACTTCATCCCCTGTGTGTGAGTCCGGTTAGGTATTTTAGGGACCCTAAAATTTAATTAGCAAGTAATAATATTTGTTTGTAAGAATAGCTTCCATACAAATACCACGAGAATCTAATTTGGACGCTAATACAGGTGTGAGGAGCTAAAAACAGCCCAAACTGGTAGATTTGAAAGGTTGGGGATTTAAGGATATTAAATAAACAAACCGATCCATTCTGACCACAGATCATTTGTCCACCAGTTTTCTGTTCATATGAGTTGAGCTTCATTTAAGAAAACTCTTCTGTCTGTCTGCACCCTGTCATCTCACGGCTTCCTCCTTTTGTGATACAGTTTCAGAATCCATTTCTGAACATTAAGAATCCTGCATTTGTGTCTATTAGATTAAAGTTAAAGGCATTAACACATGACAGACCTAAGTCATGCAGTCTTTTTGGTTGCTGCAGAGGAGCGGGAGGTTTTTTATGTATTTGGACTCTAGTTTACTCGGAAAAAATGCGAGCAGAACCACTTCTTCTCATGTTGAGTCACGTCAGAGGAATGGGTGGACGCTTGCAGATTGGCCCATAGCTCATTTGTGTTTACACCGTTATGTGGCAACATGCTTCCCACCGAGTGTAGACCGAGTTGCCTTTAAATGCACTCGCAAATCAAAGAGAAATTAAAAAATAAATGTAGCAACTTTAAAAAACACCTGAAGCTGATAAGCCTGGGAAGATTAATTTAGTAAAACATATAGAGAAAAACACGTTAAAAAGAAATCGACCCCCTTTGTTCTGCTCATGAGTGAGTCTAGTTTCCCTTCTGCTGGAGCGAGAACAAGTAATGGCTTACAGAGACAAATCAAGAGCTGAGAAAAGGACCAATAAACAAGCAGAAATGTTTCTGTTTCACAGGACAGTCATCATTTAAGTGGAATATTATGATGTGAGTCTCCTTTAAGGTTGCCAAACTTGTCCCCTGGAAGACACTGTATTTGTGTTACGTGGAAGTGTTAAAGTGTTTGAAAGCGATGGGTCCTTCAGAGTTCAACAGATGTCTAAATCACCGGGAACAATCGATAGGCAAAGCTGTTTCTGCCTTTTTTTTTTTTCTGTTGCCGTCTATTATTTGACTTTTTCTCACTTTGCCTGTTTTTTCTCTTCCCCACTGGTTTTGTGAGTGATGTGTGTTTAAAGCTCTTTGGAGAAATGAGGGGTGGTGTATGTAATGGACTTCCTTTCTTTTCCACTATTTGGCCTATTCCTTGTCTCCCAAGCATAAAATTGCCGCTTACACACACATAAACATTAGGCACTTTTTTTTATCTCGACAGTTTCCTGTAGATAAAGACAAGTGGGTGTTCTGCATCTGGGAGGGAAATCCACTGTGAGAGGGAAGGCTTTTGTTGCTTTCGGAGGGGAAGGTTTTTCGTCGAACGTCTGTTTATTTCCGTTGTGTCTTTTCTGCTGCAGACGAGCATAAAAGAGGGACTGTTGCTGAAGCAGACGAGCTCCTTCCAGAGGTGGAAAAAGCGCTACTTCAAACTGAGAGGCCGAACTCTCTACTACGCCAAAGATGCCAAGGTGGGTTTTCGCCCGTGTTTCCCAAAGCAACATTGGGCATTCCCAGAAAACCAGACCAATGACATTCATAAGACTGGAAATAGGAAGAAATAGCTCACAGGTTTCAGTCAAAAGACAAGAAAATTCAGGTCCAATCTATTTGTTTAATTTTTCCTAAAATTAAGAGCGAAAGTGAAGATTTGACATTTTACTGGGGATTACATACTATAAATCTCTTAGTCAAGTCCACCAACTTCCTGGAGCCTCTGCTGGTTGCCTAGGAACAGCTCCAGGCCCGGTTATATAGTGTTTTCATTTGTGAGCTTTTACGAGGGGTATTTTGCTACCTTTGGACCGAGGTGTGATTGATTTTAAGCTCGTTGTTGCAGGTTCTGGTGGACATAATTACCGTGATTCGCTGAGACCATCAGTACTTGTATTCTACTCATCAGATTCTGTGTTTGACCCTTTATTTCACTCCCACAATGAATCAAATTGGCGATCTCTAATTATAATCGTTTTTTTTTTACCATTCTTCTGAACTCCTTCACTCGTCTTGACATCTTTTTCCTTCTTGCTTCTACTCGAACCGGAACACACACACGCGCGTGTGTGTGTGTGTCTGTGTATGTGGATGTGTGTGCGTGCACACACTAGTCCGGCAGCGCGCTGGCACACTGGCAGGAGCGAGCGCTGCGCAGAGTGTCCAGGAGTCGCGTGTGCTGGCGGGTTTTGTCCGTCTGCTGGACGGGCGCGCGACGATCCCCCCCGCCTCTGGGCGCCAGCGGATCTGAGGAGGGCCTAGTGAGAATTCGGGTCAGCACAGCTCAGCCAGGGGGGGCCAGAACCACCGGGACGGCTTAACCAGTATTAAACAGGGCTGCATTCATGTCATATGGGGTTTTCTTAGGTTTTTGGACGGGTTATATCAGCTAATGTCTACAGATTATTTAATTTTTTATTCTATTTTACAGAAATAAATGTCATTAAATCCCTTTCTTTCTGGTGGTTGCTTTTCGATACCATGATTCTAACTATATGACATGAATGTGCTGAATATAATTAAACAAATTCATGCTGGGCTGCAAAACATGTAGATGCTACTCCCTCAGTTTTAGCTTGTAAGAGGTGTGCGAGTCTCTGTGGCAAAACCTCTAATATCTGTTGTGAATAAAATTGGGGAATGCGTGGAAAAGGCACAAAGTAGACATAGGTTTATCAAAGTGGTGTAGAAAGTGATCTTATCAGTGTCAGTGTTTCTTGACGGAATTTTATTTCAGAGTCATTTTAACATCAACTTTTCTTTCAGTCTCAGAAAAGGTGAAGAAACATTCTTTAAAAAATGCAACAGCTGCCTTGTTAAGGGGCCGGCGGACAGAATTTGTCTGCTAATCTCGCAGGTCAGCTGATTATGCCAATTTGTTTTTCAGTGCCAAAATTCTTGAACCGCGGGGTTGTGAGCACAGAGACTTGAACATTAACTGACATTTCTGGCTCCTAAATGTCCCAGTAGTTCACTCAACCAAACGCAAGTTATCTGCTACATGGGCTTAGGAATCTGGACATTAAGAAGCGCTGACTTCTCAGTGGCCAGACTAAAGTTAGCAAGTAGAGCGTCTTCTCAACCTCTGACTACTAATTCATTTTGTCTGCACCATTGCTATTTCACCATTGTTTTAAGACTGTGTGCTGCTTGACTTTCGCAGATTTTTATTGGTGGCTGTTTAAGAACGCAAATGATTACGCAAAAAAAAACTGGAACGTTCTCGAAAAGTTTTAGCTTGAGAGTAACGGTCATATTTGTAGATAAGTGCCCGCTGTCCTGCATGTCCATCCTCTCTGGTATCTACAAGGTGGCCTGGCTGGCTGTGCTGCCCTGTGCTTAAGAAGCCTGGCCTCCTGATGGATTCATCGAGGAGCGGTCATCTCAGCCCCACGGCATCTTGTCATCGTCCTCACATGAATGAGATGACCGATGGATCCATCTCCCTAACAACGTCAATGAGTTCAAACACAAAATGGCTATCTGTGTACTTATTACAATTTTCTCTCTAAGAAAAAGAGTTCAGTAAACTTTTATCAGGGGCTCATTGTATCATAACGGGTCTCATAAAAAGGCCACATCTTTAAAATGTTTTAGTTAACGTTAAACAACTTTTTTTTTTAAAAGGTTAAACATCTTTGAAATAGGACATAGTGAACTAATGCATGGGATGAAAAATGATCAGATGACAGAAACCTAAAAGAAAATTCTCAGAATCTATGAGGACCAGAGGGTCTTTAGCAAGATTCAGAGTCCAGCTACGGAAAATATGCTCTCAGACACATAGCCTACGTCAGTGTGTGTTGGTGTGAGCGAGTGCATGAGCAGTCAACAAAAAAAAACGGCCAAATTAGTACACATAATCTTCCACAAGCTTCATGCATCCTCAAACTCTCCAGGAAGTCTGCAGCTGGTATTTGTGCATAATATTGTATAACGTTGTATAACATTGACGCTCTCCTGGCTGCCGATCCACACACACACACACATACACACATGCATGCACGTACTTAAACACGCACACACACATACACACACACACGCTCACACAGAGCGAGCGTTGGCTGGTATCCCTCTCCGGCCAGGCCTGAGGAGCGCATTGTTGACTGGGCATTCCCTCTGACAGCTGGAGTATCTCACTCCTCCCACACACACACACACACACACACACACATGCAGTCTGAGGGCATTCCTTTGACAACATTGTTTTTTTGGCCTGCAGCCCTTTTTAGGAGCTCAGCTGTGTGCCTTGTGCATCACAGCACTGTTAGGATATCGTCCCCCCATCACACAGAAATCCAAGAACAACACAGAAGAATTCACCCTCACGTTCACTTCATTCTTATTTTGGTCGAGACTAAAAGTAGGAATGGGTCAAGTTGTGCTACGGTCAAGTACATTTTCTCTAAAAATAAATAGAAATGATCATCCAGAGGTCCAGACAACCACAACTAATGAATTAATTACTAACCCTAACCACAGTGCTTCAGCTAACATTTTTGTTAATAGATATCAGACCTTTCCACTGTGATGATATAAAGGATCACAAGATAAAATGTCAGACTTCTAATGATGTAGCCTCAACTAACTAACATAAGGTTTTCAATCAGCACTTATTCTAGTCAGTTACAGAATAGCACAACGTTCAAAATAATAATCTCATCCCAAAAATGCCAAACTTTAGGACCATCCCACTCATCGAAACTGATTCCTTCAGATTTAGTGATTTCTGACATGTGAAAATGAAGATTATTTTACACTTAAGCGTTGCTGTAAAATTCTTCCTTTTTTGGTGAGTTTTAAGAGCAGAATGGGGTATAAAATGTAGTCTAAAAAATGTTTTTTCCCAGTATCAGTTTCAATATTTAAAATTCAGCTGAATTAATTTATCATGAATATGCAGCATCCGATTGGAGGAGGAAGTCTGTCAGATAAGAGCGTATTTCCTGCCTAAACCCCGATCAACACATAAGCGTTACAAAGTGTACGTTTTTTTAAAACTATGTTTCAAAATAGGTTTATCTCTGTCAAATTCTGACATTTGAGACTTTTCAGATGTTTCCCATGAATTTTTATCAACCTCAAAACCTGCCTTAGGGTTTGGTTTAATGGTATTTATTTCTAGCAGACACTCTGTTTTCACATTTAACTGACTGGGGTCCCTTTGTGTACATTTTTTCATCTCTGGTAGAAAAAAATGCAAACAAACTGTTAGCTGACGTGTGAACATCTGTTCCCAACTGCCTATCACGGTCATCAGTTAGAGCCACTAACAGTGTTATAAAAGAGAAAAAGAAATTTAATTTTCTTCGTTGAAAGGTCAATGTTATTATTAAAGCGTAATTAATCATAATAGTTTAGATGTTCCCTCATACTGCGCAGTTGATGATCAATAAATGATCTCATGATTTTGCAAGCTTATGACATGCATGCCCTGCATATTTCATGGTTGATGTATACTTATGAATTCATCCATACAGCCCTTTTAAGGCCATAGTGGTACCGCTTTTAAAGACTGGATGGCTGAAACAAGCAATTAAAAATGCACAACGTGAGATGTAACTTTACCGCAAAGTCTACCATCTTCTAAAGTCTGTATCCTTATATTGCCAAAAAACAAGAGCAAGACACGAGTTATGTGTTTGCTTCTGCACGCATCACGTTTACTTCGGGCTTGTAGCTTCCATTCTAAACTGAGAAGTTTCATCTAAGGTCAGCTTTGTATTTTGTAGCCTGTCACCACTGTCCTCATGCATTAGCTTACAGTAAGATAAGCTCAGCCCAGTGTGTTGAAACGCATCTCTAGAAGCTCACTCCCTTTTTTTTATTTTTTATTTGTCTCTCTGCTCTCCTCTGGGGACGCCACCCACTGTTCTTCTCTGCAGTCCCTTATCTTTGATGAAGTGGACCTATCGGATGCCAGCGTTGCAGAGTCCAGCACAAAGAATGTCAACAATAGCTTCACAGTGAGTAAATCCTGAATTCTTTATTTGTGTTTTATGGGGAGACACATTTTTGTCTTACCATCAGTGCAAATCTAAGGTGTTTCCTTAAAATGTTTTCCCTGTCAACCCAAAATTGAAGAGATGAAGCACTCCCTTGTATAAAAATGCCTTCAGTCAGCAGTTATGTATTTCACAAATCAAATTAAAGAATGACCACTAACTCAGATATATGACCACATTTCACTTTCTAACCGCAGAAGGGAAAAATGCTAAATTCCAGGATAAAACCGGCAGCACTAATGTTTTTCCAAAATTATTCATTTGGTTCCTCCATCTTAATACTTTTTTTCTGGTTATTTTTTGCTCATTTGTTGATCAGATCTGAATTTTTATTTTTTTATGATAGTAAAGGTTGTGTGTTCACAACTTCAGGACTTACTCTCTCAATCAAGGCTGTAAAGGAAAAATAAGCCTTAAGCAAACAAACCCGAACCACGTGAACTTAATCCAACACTTAAAACAGTATCGCACGCCTGAACGTGTCCATTTTGATCCGACAGCAGCTTGCATTACAATAACATGAAATATAAAGAGAATGCAGGTCAAAGTTACTGATCAACATGCAGCCATGCCACTGACCGACCCCATCCCTCCACACCAGAGTTAAAACAGCTAACCTGGTGAGTTACACATGTGCACTGACCAGAATTTGACATTTTGATCTTTGTGCAAGCGGTTGTGGGGAAATAATTTAATAATTTTCCTCGTATGAAGGACATCAGGCCAATTTAAGGGCTGAGAAATGCTATAACATTTGTTCTTAAGCCTCTATGGAAACATTCCGAGTGATGGACAAAGAACACCAGGCCTAAGCATCACCATTTGATCAAATGAAATCCTAAAGCTGCTAACTTTTTCTGTCCTTCAATAATTAAAGCACAAACATGTCTGCATTGATAGAATATTATTGTCACCGGGAGGCATTTTCTGGAATGAGTGTGTGTGTCTATGTGGCAGGTGAAGTTGCAAGGGAAACGTGACGATTATGAGCAATCGGGATGTGAAAACAGAAAGTGAAAGAGCTAGTGGTGCCCTCTGCTTTCTATAAACGTGTCTTCTCTCCAGGGATGTAGCTAAAAATAGGAAACAAGGAGGTGGGAGGCAGGGGAGCGCGTGGCTGTTTTTTTTTTTTTAGAGTCGCCTTGAAACGCTTCGCTGCTTGCCTGGTATGGCTTAATGTCTACCATATTAGAAAATTAGATTACCGCTGTGTGTGTGCGTGTGTGTGTGTGTGTGTGTGCAGCATGTGTTGTGACAGTGATATGATATGCTACCTGGCTAAACACTTTTAATGTCCCGGTGGATAATTTAAATGCTTATTTTGTGTGCGGCGCCTCAAATGCGGCTATTGCTGCTCCGGCTTGGCCAGGACGCCCTTGCAAAAGAGATTTAAAACCTCAAGAGTCCTATTTGTCCTGGTTACATAAATAAATGGAGAAAAATGCCCTTATGAAGCATCCCGCTGAGAGGGAGGGGGAAGGGGTAGAAAAGGAAGAAGAAGAAGAGGCGAAGAAAGGAGGGAAAGATTGAGCTAAGGAGAGCCTAAAAATAGAAAAAAAGGAGAAGCAAGGACGTAGATGGATGAAAGTGCATGTGGAATATGTAATCTGTTGGGAATGACGGCAGACGGTGGAGACACACACAAGGAAAAAAGGTAGCACGGAAGAAGGAGGAAATCCTGAAGTGATGTCACTTCACTCCTGACTGCATTTGCAAACACGCTCCTCGGGGGGGGGGGGGGGGGGGGGGGGGGAAGAGAGGAAAAAAAAAGGAGAGCACGAGTCGGAGCGAGAGGGAAGCGAGTCGAGAGGAGAGGACGAAGAAGGACGGAGGCGGATGAAAAGAAAAGGGGGAAAGAAAGATGGGAAAGATGCGGCCGATGTGAAGAAGTGGTGAAACACAGAGGTAAAGCCGGACGATTTATCACCTGCATGATTTGCATAATCTCACGCGCGTGCATGTTGTGCTCTGTGTGCTCTGAGAGGGGGGCAGCAGGAGAGATGTGCGCTTGATTTTTATTCTGTGTGTTTGTCGGTCAGCCCCCCTCAGGAGCGTGACTAAGGTTGTTGGCATTCTCTCGATTCTGCATACGTGAATCGACTTGTCATGGTGGTGCACATCAATGGATTCAAACATCTCCTCACTACCTATTGTGCACGCTTTTGATTTAAAAAAGCCAAAGACTAGACATACCCGCAGCGTAACAATAGGATCTTTCCATGCCCAGATGTTCTCTCCAGCTATTTGTGTAATTGGAGGAAACGTAAATGCATGTGTCATGTGTGGAGGAGATGAAAACAACCCGAAGGTTCTTTTCTTGGGTTGTCTATTCTACCCAGTTACGCATTTGCACGCCGTTTGATTTTTTGGTGTGTGTGTTCGAGGAGAGCCCGTGTGTGTGAACGTGCCGCGCGGCCGTTGTTGTGGAGGGGTAGACGGAGCACCTTGAGGTCCACGTGAGGGAGCACTCAGCCAAGCCCAGACTCTGAACTCATCACAGACCGCCTCTCACACTGACTGTGTGTGTGTTTGTCTCAGTCTTATTGGAGCGGGTCTGTGATGACATTCCTCTTTAAATCTGCATAGATATTTACATTTACATCAGTTTTGAGCTGCGCACTTGCATTGCTCGCGTCTAAAGCGGTTGAAGAAAATCAGACTTTTGTTGCAGCCTTGATTGTCCCTCCTCTCGGTATTCCCTTTTTTGCCGCATGACACCAGAATCCAAACGGCGACATCACGAATCCTGCTATTTTTGGGTCTAAGGGATGCCTTTCTGTCTCATCAGATACGTGATGTTGTGGAGTTAGCCACTTTTATTTTGTGGCTACAATACACACGTCCGACTGATGTATTCATCCGTGAAGGTCAGTCATCAAGAGAGGTTTTCCGCACTTCAGGGATGCCTAGAGACATTTTTGGAAACAGCCATTCCCTGTTTCCCCTAGCAACCAATCTTATCTCTCCTCAGGTCCACACACACACACACATACACACACATACACGCACACACGCAGCAGACAGAGTACACCGGCGGAGAGGCAGGATGATCTATGTACCGAAGGGATCGATTTTGCCTCCGTGCGCGCAAGTACGCACTCAAGGGCTCAAACGTGCGCTCTCGTTCTCGGAGTTCCTGGTGGGAAATGAAGACGTATCGCGATGAACGGGCTGAGAAAAAAAAATTGAGATGTCTGAATTGCAGGGGAGACACTGGGGAAGGTGAGACAGCCAAAACAACAGATCCACTTGTGCATGAGGAATCGGCTCTAAATGGGTGATTGGCTGGGAACTCAACATGTCCCGCACACACACACACACACACATGCATGTGAACAGTAATTAGGGAGTCGAGGTCTCCACTTAAAAAAGGAGGAGAAAGCCTGATAGGATTACCTTTTATTATCAGCTGAATGCGAGGATTCACACTCACAGCAACAAACTTTGGATTTATTTAGCACATTCTTCTTTGTCAGGCTTTTTTTCTGCACCAGCAAATCAGATATTGATCAACATTTTACGACGGTTAAACATAAGAATATAGTCAGAAATCAAAAGCTGTTTTGAAGTTGGAGATGCTGTCAAATTTTAATCATACACTGTGGAACAACAAAATTCCTTTTATTATATTTGCTTTTCAAGCAAGAAAAATATAATAAATAGAAACAACTGATTTGTTCATTTTGGAGGAAATAAGATGTTTAAAAAAAGCATCAAGCTCTACATCACCAAGAGAGATTCTCAATTTATTTTCTATAAGCCAAAAACAAAGTACAGTACACCTAACGAAAACAGATGAAAGAGCTTAGAGTTTTTTTTTTTGTTTTGTTTAGTTTTGGTTGGATTTAAAGCAAAAGGAAAAGAGTAATTCAAAGGTGTTTACATAAATAAAACTAAAATTGAAGTATCTAATAAGTAATGGTACCAACTTTAAATTATAATATCTCTACTTCCATATTTTCTCAAAGCTGAGGAACAGTTATGCCATAATTAAATGCTCAGTGGGAACTGGAAATATTAGCAACATAATTAGCAATTCTCATGACAATTGGCTGTCTTTCATTCATCTACAAAATTGCTTCTTTAATTTCCAGTGATAAACTGTCCGTAAAAAGCTCATCTGTGAGGGATGCCACTGTAAACTTGAAGAGTCCAAATTGGAGAAAGATGCCGTATCATCCATTCCACAGCAGTCAACTTAATGTGACCCTGTGCTTTATAGGTTCACTAAATCCCACCCAGGTCTGAGCTGGACATTTTGTTACTGGACACTAAGCTGTGGTTTATTCTTCGGGAGGCTTTAACATATTGTCTAGTTTTCTTTTTATGGAAGAGGTTTTCACTGGAAAAATGACATCATGCAACTTCCCATCTTCTTATCGCTGCTAATTAGCTTTAAGATTATATGAACGAGGTCAATATCTAGCTGGATTTCCATAGAGATCGAATACGGTCATGTATTTTATCTGGTCGGTAACATTTGTCAGGCGGCAGCTTGTGGCTGTAAACCAGATGGTTAGCGAGCAACAGGAGCCCCTCATGCAGAAAGAAAAGCAGTCCTGCAGCAGATTTGTCTCGCCAATACACACAGGCGCTCGTGCACGTTACGCACACGGGGATGTGGCTGTTGGTGTGTACCTGCTGCTTTCTCCACCTGGTGAAAGCCTCAGTCATTTTTGTCGGAAAACACGCTGTTTTTCTCATTTTGTTTTTTTTTTGCAGTTTCACCCGGTTTTCCTTTTGTTTTGCGTGTGTATGTGCGCGGGTCTGTTTACCCTACAGGATGTGCGGAGTACACAGTAATACAATTATCCAATTATTGCCAAAGTGGGTGTAATTCAAGAAAAGAATGGACCTCCACAGCGGCTCGGTGTACGGCTTCGAATTATGTCAAATAGTCAGTCTGAAATGCTGTGTTGGAAAATCAGTGAACCCTTTTGTGGGAGAATCAGAAAGAAAAAAAAAAGCAAACGGCTTCCTGCGCGGTTACAATAAGGGTGCTGCAAATGGTTCATCGATCCACAAATGTGTGAAAGTCTACTTAGTCTTGCAGGTTTGAGACGCCACCTGAAAACACGGGTGAAATTTGACCCATAAGCTGTCTTCACATGAATATTCTTAATTTATATGTGTAACCCAACCTGCGATCTCAGCTTTGCACAGTGTTTATTTGTTTGTTTGAAAGACTTAATGAGCCAAGGAATTGGACCAGTTAGTTCCTCTTTTTTCTGACAATGAGGAGACGGATACGGCGCCCACGCCCATCCTGAACTATTAAAGCCTGACACGAAGAGATAGTGCAACAGTTCCTGCCCATATGTGCTTAAATGGAGACTGTAGAGACTCATCTCTGAGTTAATCCACGTGCAAATGCATAGATAACTCACAGTAAGGCTGCATGTGTTTAGCCAATGGCCACGAATTTCCACCAAAGTATCAGGTTTTCGAAAAAGACAAAAAAGAAATATTGGCACAGTTTTGCTGGTGAGTGTTAAAAATGCGTGAGCTAAAAAATGTTACGGCCTAAGCGCAATCAGGAATTGACTAAAGCTATTTAGTGAAGAGTTATGGTGTTATTGCCTGACCATAAACTAAAAGTGAAAAAAAATTCTCAGTCTTTTTTGAGTGCATCACAAATTGATACCAAGCCTCAGAAGACCCCATGCTTCTTCATTGTTTACATTTTTTGCAAATTCAAGGTGACAGTTGACTTTCTTGCCACACGAAAATGCTCATATTTGATATTTTAGGGAGTGAGGAAGTTAAAGCAGTCGTGCAGTGCCACCTGTCACCTGTAGGGGTGCTAGCTCAGAGGATGCTGCTGTGGGTTATACGTTAACCGTGTGCTGTACCAAGTAGAGGGTTGGACAACCACCCTGAGTGAGATATGACCTGATTTTTATGATGCTTAGCCTGTCAGATGCGAAGAGATATGGCTGAGGAACAGACATGATTTCATCAGCAAAGGAGAGTTTGTCATCAGTCACGACACCCCCGGGTGTCTTCGATTTCAGATTTAGGCTCCTCATTTTGCCCTCTGATTCTGAATTTTATTCTTCCTATTCTTTAGCCTGTGATGTGCTTAGGTAGACCGTCCAATTAAATAACATTAGCAAGTCAACATTTTTTTTTCGGCTGTATGCCACCCTGCCCTGTGATTGGCCGGAGACCTGTCCACCCTGTGTTAGTGGAGGTTTCCTGTCATTTTGAAGGTTTATATCTGTTCAAGTGTCCTTCTGGTGCATTCTTCTGGCACGCTTGAAAGTTCCTCTGGCTAAAAGATGCGAGCTAAACGGGAACATGTGAATGTAATGTTGTCTGGTGTGCACAAGCAGTGCCTCTGATCAGCTCGCTACCACAAGCCGCGATATTCCAGAGATGAGATAGCATAAATAAGTGATGGGGGTGTTGAAAGGGTGCCGTGAGTCTGCGGGGACTGTTTTTTAAACACACACTTCCATGAGCTGGGGAGGCAACTGGGGGGGGGGGGGGTAGAGAGGCTTTTTTTTCTCCGCCTGTCTGCACACGTCTGCCTCAAAGCAGGATGGAGGGTGAGCCAAAAGATAGAGGAGAAAGGGTGGGGTGAAGGATGCTAAAGTGAACTAAACAGCCCAGTCAAGAAAGGTGTGAGCGAGTCACACTCAACGAGAGGGTGGGAGACACAGAGGAAGGGGAGGGGGGGGGGGCTTCTTATCTTTTCTCCTCTTTAAAGACGCCTCGATCGCTCTCTCCGCTCAGAGGCACAGCCGGCTGGAGGGGGAAAAGCATTCAAGCCAGGGGAGGGCTTCAGCCAAGACATCCGTCCTTACTTCCTTCACCAAATCCCCGTCTCTCCAATTCCAGGTGATCACTCCGTTCCGTAGGCTCATCCTCTGCGCCGAGAACAGGAAAGAGATGGAGGACTGGATCAGTTCGCTCAAGTCCGTCCAGTCAAGAGAGCATTACGAGGTAAGAGCTCTGCAAATCAACACTTTGACAGATCAGATTATTTTTGGAGAGTTGTCTTTTTACGAGGGATAAAAAAGAGGGAAAAGCAGCATCAACAACCGATCTGAGAGTAGACTCATCCTCCCCCTGCTGTGGGAGGCTGTTTACGATGAAAATCACTTCAGTATTGAGCCAGTACGTCTAAAACTTTGCACGGTTTGTCTAAAATCCGCCGCAAGACATTTCTGTAGTGATATAAAAAAAAGAAAAACAACCCTAAGCTCGTGCAAAGACATGCGTGGGGCCACATGTAGTCACAGGTGCTCAGCTGCTTGGCCAGAGTTGTGGCCAAGAAAAAAAAAAAAAGAAAATCACATGGCAACTATTAATACGACCTAACTGAAGAGGCAGTTGCCGGAGTCTTTAATTCTCCGGATAAAAAACGCACGAGGTGCTGACGCCCGTCAGACAACAGACCAGCAGCTTAACTGTTGACTCTCTTGTCATTTTCTCATTGCAAAAAAGAAAGAGGACTCGAGCTCTGGGCTGTGCGCTGATAGTGACGAGCTGTGGCAAGCTCTGGGGAGGAGTAGGGGGGGGGGAGAGAGAGAGAGAGAAAAAAGGAGCGCGGGCAGAAAAGCGGCGCTGAATTTTAATGGCTCTGATTTGAGAGGGGGAAATCTTATATAAGACCCCATCCCACACCCCCTTCCCTTCACTGCAGTGCAGCAGCAGCCCCAGAGCTCACACACACCACAGGGCACACACACACACATACACACACGTGCAGACACAAACACACCCCAACTAAGAGCCCAGCGCCACGGCATCTCATTACTCTTTCTCCCATGTTGTGCTGCGAGTGACCCATTTTGCGAGCACCTGTTACAGTTTTACTTATGAAACACCAACTGCAGCAGACGCAACGCCCACACGGGTACAGTGCGCCATACACTGGAGCTCACAGCTCACTCATATTTAGAGAAGTATCCATTGGGTCAGCAATTTTTTTCCCCTGAGGTTTGGGAGGTTCATATCACAGCACCTGGCAAAAATATGGAAGTACAAACACATAATTAAGTCATTACATTCAAATATGAGCCCATTAAACATTGAATTAGATAATTAAACTGTCTGATTTTGTAAAGCATATATAAAGAAATTGTATCTATTTTCCAGATAAAGTAGGGATTCCAAATAATGAATATCCAAGTAATTGATATATATTTTGTTTTTTGAATGCACATGTATAAATATGAACATTAGTTAAACAAGATCGCTGGAAGAGCTTAAGGGACTGATGCTTGAAACACGGTGCCAACAGAGCTGTTGCTTTAGGCAAGTGGTTGTTTGCAGTAAGCTGCAAGTTAAAAAATGGGAAGGATTTCAAATGTAGGCATTGAGGTTGAGCATGCAATCAAAGCATCAGGACAGAAAGCTCAAATCAATATGCCTGAAATAAACAAAATGGACTATAAAAAAAACATAGGATTCCCATCCAAAAGAGACAAATGTTATCCATCACAAGCACCAAAAAAGGATACAGCGAGCTGAAAAAATAAAAGTAAACAGACTCATTTCCACAGTCACTGACGATGAGTCATTTGCTTTGCTTTAGAAAACAAAAAATCTGAAACAACATCCCAAACGAAGAATTTTTCCATACTTTTTGGGAGGTATTTAAAGGGGAAAGATTTTACAGAAGGAATGAATGAATGTTAATTTAGTGAGTTGTTATTTGTGTCTTTAGTCATGAACCATTTCAGAACCTTCTCTGGATTTAAGCATGCAGACTGAATCGGTGATTTGTTGTGCACTGTGCTTGCTTTTTCTGTGCTGCCAACCCTCTTTTAACCTCTTCTTTGTCAGACGGCACAGTTTAATGTGGAACATTTCTCAGGGATGCACAACTGGTACGCCTGCTCCCATGCACGGCCCACCTTTTGCAACGTCTGTAAAGATAGCTTGTCTGGGGTCACGTCTCATGGCCTCTCCTGCGAAGGTGAGTCAAACACACACAACCATGCACGCACACAACCAGCCACGCACACAAAACCCCGTTCATCCCTCCCGTCACACTTCGTATTAATTCAGGATACTTATTTATTTGCCACACTCCAAAAGAAATAATGGTAGAGATATTTATATAATGTTCGTTTTGTTAAATGAGACTATACAGATTAGATTTTAATACAAAATAGGTTTGGTAGTTGGCTGTAGCCTTAAAAAACAACAAGTGTCACATGTGTAACAAATACATATGCTAACAAATTTGCTGGGTAATTACTGTATTGCATCATTATTGCATCCAAAAGTTCACATTTCAGGCAGCTAATGTTTGTGTTTAGTTTTTGTCAGTCGCAAAGTAAAAATCATTCGACTAAATCATGGCTTTGAGCAGCAAGAAGCTCAGGATTTTCCAAAGCCAGCATAAGTCTTAGAAATGATCTGGCCTGTGGAGTGGATGCCCATCAGACTCACCACTGGAGGTGCAGCAGAAGAAAAGAGAAGGAAAGGGAATATTGGCACCAACAGTACACATCAAACGAGCTCATGTCAGCCAGCATCCTATGTCACACTGTGTGTGTGTTAGATAATAGCTGACGCAGCCTACTCTTTTTTTTTTTTTCCAGCATTTTTAGACATTTATAATTACCAGTAACAGAAAAAAAAACTGCTAAAGGATTGTGTGAAAGACACCACATCACCTCGCCTTATCTGCTGAACATCTGTGAGGTTGAAAATGGAGCTGACAAGGGTGGATGAGACTATTTTTCGCTCGCTTTTAGCCGGCGTTAAGTGGCAGTGACAGGCAGCAGGCCCTGCACATCCCTTTGTGCTCATTTTTTCTGACGCTCACCTGTGATCGTGTGCGTTCAATTTGCGGCGCTTGCTTGTGTGGAAATGTGAAGACAGTGAAGAGGCTCAGCACAAAAAACACAAAAAAACGACCTAATTATAAGCTATTGTGCTCAAAATGATTTTTACACACCCGACATGTAGGATGGAGAAAATACTTCCACCACAGCTTGAGTTCTCATGATTATTGCCTCCTTTATGTTTGTCAGACCAGTCCTTTTTAGCCACCGGCAGGACTTCTGGATATCAGCCATATCCTTAGTCATACATTTCGAGCCAATGCGGCTGGTTGGCATCATGGCGGTTCCTCTTCCCATGAACCAGGACATGTATTCATCCAGCTAAGTCACTATCTGAGCACGAGCAAGAGACATATGACCATGTAATGGTGGCTGTCATTCGGATTACCAGAGCCTGTGTCAGGTGTTGAGGGAGAGGGAAGCGGTGGATGCTTCAAAGCCCAACATTTAAGCCGTGCAGAGAGCTACTTTGTGTGAAGTATAGAGAGAATGTTGCCAAGAGTCTTTTGAGTTTTTTTTTTTTTTTGGGCTTTATCTTGGCAACAGCTTAACCTGGTCATCAAAGAGTGGCTAAGCCTATCCGCTCAGTTTAGGCTTTTAGTTGTGAGGCAGCAGAAATTATTTAGTTTTGCATCATTATTCAGCATTTACACAAGCTTTTGAAAGCATATGTCCACGATTTATCATGATTCATTGTATTACCTGCAAAAGGAATGTTAAAAAATATCATAAAGCACATTTTGCTTTAGCAAACATTTGAATAAAAAAAAAACACAGTTTGTAGAAGCACATGAAGCTCTCATCTGAATAATTTTCTATGTGGAAAGTCCTCTTTGGTTATTGATTTGAGCCAGGCTGGAAAGGACATAACTTGTTTTGCAGTACGCCTTAAAGATATCGGGCTTAAAACGAAACGCGAGGCTAATAAGAGTGATGGCCATTTTCTATTAATCTTCAATCAGTTCCAAAGCAATCACGGTTGCTTAACTTTCCCTTCGATCTCCTGCATCGGGCAGTCAGCGGGGATTGATTTGTGTTACCTAGCCTCATGCACAATTACACAAATACTTCTGGGTTATTCTATATTTTCTTCCTGTCTGGCTTTCGAATGCTCAGAGTTCTGCCGGGCCATTAGCAGCGCTTGGTATCTTGTCCCTCTGAGTTCTCTTAATGTTCTGCTAATGTGCTCTAACAGCATTTAGCGGTAAACTAGATTGAAACATTGATTGTTCCTACCGGATATCACTCGGAGTTGCGCTGTCTGTGTGGACTGGCTAATGATAACTTTGTGTGTATGTGTGTGTTGCTTCGTGAGCAAGGGTGGGGCTGCTGGAAGAAAAAGTTCCCCAGAGTGTACACATTATTCATGAGTTCACTAAGTGCCTCATCTCTTACCGGAGGACGAGGCGAGAGACAGCTTTATCTGCCTTCACATCTTAATGAAAAAACACGCATGTCAAATTTAAATTTCACTCCTCTTTCACATTCAGATCAGCTAGTTTTAAACACATTAACGTGAGAGCTTTTCCTCCTGACCATTAAACCTAAACCTAAACACTAAACCTTAGCTGATTGAAATGACAGGATGAATCTTAAATGAAAATCTGAGGTTGTATTTACCTTGATTATCTTCGGCTAGAACGAACACAGATTGTTACTTAATGTATTTCAGAGGAACTATTTAATGAGATTTAGAACAAACTCACCTCTGTACAGGAATGCCGGAGGATCTCAGTCTATGAGCAGGTTCATCTAAAGTTGAAACGTCAGGTAAACTGTCAACATTTAGGCCACATTTTAAAATTCAGTTCTACGGTGGACTGTAGGCCTTGGAAATATTCACATATATAGTATTTTGCATCTTACTAAAAAAATAAATAGGAGAGGACAAGTGTTTTTTAAAGATGGTGTCCACGCTTTGACTTTGGTTTGAATTGTGTGACCGCTGAGATTGAAAGTCAGAAGTGAGAAGAATGTACAGTCCAGGGTGTCCTGACAGAGGGAAACATCTGGAAAGCTGAGGGAGGTCCTGTTTGTTGGTGCCATACAGTGCAAGACATATCTTATAAAAACACTAACCACCTCCTTTTTTCTCCGATTGAAAACTAGATTGACAAAGTTTAAATAGCCTCTTTTCCTTCAGTTTGACAATAGTGTCTGTGTCCTGTTTTGGTGGGTCATTGATTCCATGCACTGACATCTATTTACAGTTTGATTCATTTGAGAGCTCATTGGGCGGGTCTGTTTCTGAGTCACACATAATTTTCCAGTGTTTTTCAGCCTGTGAAAAAGACTTTAAGTGGTTTATTCTATTTCTCCCGTTAACACGCCGGACCTCTCGGCTTGACTATTGAATTAACTTGCTTTTTATAATGCTTTTTTTTTTTTTTCTGTGAATCCTCTGTCTTTTCCATCTCAGAATATCTTTGCCCTCAAATTAAATCAGAAACTGTGCCACCCTTGGCGGTCAATCTCCAGATGTCTCCACGGGATGATTTACTGGCGTTTGATGCAGGTGAACGGTGGCCAATGTTTTAAAGCTGTGTTTGTGTTTTTTTGCAGTTTGCAAATTCAAAGCTCACAAGCGCTGTGCTGTAAGAGCCACTAACAACTGTAAATGGACGACCCTTGCCTCCATAGGAAAGGATATTATTGAAGATGAGGATGGGGTGAGTTTCTTTTTTTCAGAAATCTGACATTTTATGAAAAATAATAAGTTCACGTTTAAACCATTTTAAACTTTGCATTTACCTCACATGGCTTAAGAGAGGTACTTTTTGGGTGATTTTGGGAAAAAAATATCCTCTCTGATTTTTTCTACTGTTCTGGGGTGAAACCTCTGTGCGTTTATCTTTGTTTTAAAGTCAATTACCAGGAGATACCCATAAAGAGAAGAGCGTGATAGGTGGATGCGTTCCTAAGAGGAACAGGCTTGGAGTGATAGTAGTAATCAGATTTTAGAATCTCAAGCCGGAATTAATCTACTGCAAGGGTTTTAAAAGACATGAGGCAAAAGTGAAAATGTGATTAATAAAGGGCCCTTTGTGTCCTGGACAGCTGTCAAGCCTTTTGCACGGGCCTCTAAATGAGGTGACGTAAAAGTTAAAAGCAGATAACGGAAAAGGGAAAAGTCTGTACGTACCTTTTACTAAAATCATTCCCGTTTGTGTGCGTTAAACCTGCAGATCGCCATGCCTCACCAGTGGTTGGAAGGCAACCTGCCTGTGAGTGCCAAATGTGCCGTGTGTGATAAGACATGTGGCAGCGTTCTGAGGCTGCAGGACTGGCGCTGCTTATGGTGCAAAGCTATGGTAAGCTATGGTCACAAATGCAGAAAATGGGCCCTAATGTTTCAATAAAACTTAGACTTAGTGTTTTGCCGTATGTATTGTTACATTTATGTTTGGTTTGTTGTTGTTGTTGTTAAGAAAGTGACTGGATATTACGTTATTGATACTGATAGGATGCTTAAAGTAAGTGAGATACTTCCAGACAGCATTTATTTTAAGTTTTAGCTGTAGATATTTTACAAATTCCTTTAAATTGATCTTTACAAAGTGGAAATTGTTACATTCTGACTATAAAGTCTTGTCTGTATGTCTCCTCCAGGTGCACACAGCATGCATGGATCAGTACCCTCGCAAGTGCCCTCTAGGTCAATGTAAAGTCTCCATCATTCCCCCCACAGCGCTAAACAGCATCGACTCAGATGGTAAGCAAACGCACTCATGCACAATAGCCCGTGCAATCGCTCTAAAGGGTCTGATGTGTTTTTCCATTATGGTAACTGTTGCCATTATCAAATCTGCATTTTCTTGATGGGCAAACCTCAATGACCTGAAGCAATGTGTCAAAATAGACTACATGTCCTCCAGAGCAATATAAGAGACTGATATCAACTTAAATAAAACGATTACTTTAAATTGTTGCTGCGGTGACAACAAGATATTGATCCATGGCTTGGATCTGCTTCTGTATTTTGGCTTAGTTCTCATTAGATAGATAGGTTAGGTGTTATTGTTCATCTGAGGTATAATTCCCCTAACTTGAAGACCTGGTGACCATTCGTTTAAGAAGATGAAAAGAACTCTCAGCGGGCGGTGAATGAGCCTCCATTTCTTTGTTTAAAGGCCTTTCGGTGAGTGTTTGCTGGGCAGTTTGTTTGCCAGAGCTCACCTTAAGCTTATTGTAGATGGAGATCGGCACCTGTGAAGCAGATTCAGATAAGCATGCGTGATTGGATTACTGTTTCCAAAGCCGACTGCTGGATCTCTGTCACACACACGCCCACAGACACACACACCCACACAGTGCGCAGCAGCCCAGTGAGTCTGTGAAAAGCTGGCATCTGCTAATTGGCAGTTGGATGAAACGGAGGCAGGGAAAGGGAGGACGGGGCATCCAGATGAAAGGAGGACAAGATAAGAGCAGAGAATGGACAGAGTTTGAAGGAGAGAGCGGATAAAACGGCTCGTGTCTATCTTTCTGTTTTTCCCGTCTCTCTCCGTATTTCCTCCCGTGCTCTGGGTCCCTCTCTGAGCGTAGATCTGGGATGGGGATGGGGGGATGCTGGGTGTTTGGTTGTAATTGGCTGGGGGGGGACACAAGCTGCAGCACGTGTTGAAGCACCGTGACTCTCCTCCCCCCCCCTACCCCCCCCACTCCTCTTCCACTCCTCCCTCTCCTCCACTCACATTGCTGCCATCTATCCCTTCGTGACAATATCATAGAGAGACCGAGGCAGAAAGGAGGTAAATCAGAGCGGAGATGGAGACGTTTAAGAGTGGGATGAAGAGGTAAAGCAGGATGCGGTAGAGAAAAAGGAACAGAGGGTGGAGTAGACTTGTCACATGCATACATACACACACAAATACACACACACACATAGGGGGGAAGCTTTAACAACCACAAAGCTGTCAACACTGGTGGTACACAAGATTATAGCATAAGGACAGAAACCTAATGTTTGCTTTACCTCCTACAGATTAGCACGTGTTTATGACATGTGTTATCCTTGCGTTTATTAATACGTCAGGACTCAGATATGATGAGGAAGCGTAGAAGTTAAAAAAAATGTATACCACCTTCTGCAAACAAATCTTCACGGATAAAGGAACACCACTCTTAGCTTAACATCTAACTGATTGTATGAATAGCCCCCACATTTCATCAGTCTATTGATAAAAGTATCGATATAATATAGCTTTATAATCTCACTGGGAAAAACCTTGTTTTATGGTGCGTAATCTGCATAATGAGTGTATATTGCTGAATAATCTCGCTACATTTACAGCATGAAAAACAGCTTTCCCCAATTCACACGGCATTCTCAATCTGTACTGTTGTCCTTACTGGTTCCACGATGGGGGAACAGGCTTCCTTTATTGGTAAAAAGGGCTCATAAAGAGTAATAAGACATGTTCTGGATATTGTCTGTCCCAGTAAAGACCAATGATCGTCCATTTGAGACGGACAAAAAAAAAACAAACATGGATCTGGAAAGATGTTGATCAACATCCGGCCGGTCTCCGACTCCATCTCTACCATCGTGTCCAAAAACGAGAGAAAGATAGTAGACATCTTGTAAGATTTGATTTGTTCACATCATTCAACATGTTTTGTTTTTTTTATGTTTTTCTCAGGTTTCTGGAAAGCTACCTGTCCCCCATCTTGTGCCAGTCCCCTTCTCGTCTTCGTCAACTCCAAAAGCGGAGACAACCAGGGGGTGAAATTTCTCCGCCGCTTCAAGCAGCTCCTCAATCCGGCGCAGGTCTTCGACCTGGTGAACGGGGGGCCGCACCTGGGGTGAGGGGAACGGCTCCAACTATCCGCAACCGCGAAGCACTGGTAGTAAGATATCAACGAGTCGGAGTAATTGAGCGTGCGTCTCTTGTCAGTCTGCGTTTGTTCCAGAAGTTCGACAACTTCCGAATCCTGGTGTGCGGGGGGGACGGCAGCGTGGGGTGGGTCCTATCGGAGATCGACAAACTCAGTCTACACAAACAGGTGATGCAGACGAAACAAAGCTGATGAATGAAAAATGGATATAAAAAATGTTTTTCTTCCTTGGATGTTGAGCTGTATGCCTTTTTCCTTTAGTTGGGTTACAAAAAAATGTGTCAGGAATGGTGGGTTTTGAGGGAGGACTCATGACGAAAACAGGGTTTATTGTAACAAAAATACTCAAAAGGGTGGAAGGTTCAGACAAGGTTCAAAAACAAGGCTGTGGCAAAACTGTGAAAAAACATGGCTTTGGAACAAAGTAAATAAGACTATGGCAAAAAGCAAAACCTTACGTGACATGGGGAGACGAAAGACCAGGGGCGAGAGATAAAAAAGGACGAAACAAGAAGGACGAAAACGAACTGGCACAAGACAAGGGGAAACAAGGACTATTTAAACACGTGAGGGAGGGGAACCCCAGGTGTACACAATAGGTAATCATGACATGACGAGACACCAGACATTCCCCCGGACGTGACAAAATGGAAAAATTCACAGACGCACATTGTCGAATAAAGCCCTAAATGTGCCTTTCAGTGCCAGCTGGGGGTGTTGCCCCTGGGAACGGGGAACGATTTGGCCCGGGTCCTGGGCTGGGGCCCGTCCTGCGATGATGACACGCAGCTGCCCCAGATCCTGGAGAAGCTGGAGAGGGCCAGCACCAAGATGCTGGACCGCTGGAGCATCATGACCTACGAGATCAAGATCCCGCCCAAACACAGCTGCCCCACCACGCCCGAGGGAACCGACGACTGCCAGGTACAAGGACCAGCAGACGGATTCCAAGGGCGGAACCTGACAATTTTATTAACGCGGGGCTCTCCTCAGCTCAGTTTCACATGTGGATGGAGAAAAAAATTTTTTCTCTACAAGTGAATCATGTTGGTCTGGTTTAACCCTTTTGTTCTTTTTGTGATTATTTTCCAAAGTTTCCCATTTCGGCCTACGAAGAGTCGGTGGCTACTCACCTCACAAAGATCCTCAACTCAGAGCAACACTCTGTGGTCATCTCTTCAGCAAAGTAAGTGATATTCAGTCATTTTGACCCTAAACATGTGGCGGGGGGGGAAGAAAAACTGGGCTAAAAATTAGTCTAACATTTCTAAACATGAAAGCCAGCAGCTTTTCATTTTCATTTGTATCCCTTCTTTATAAACATCTCCTTTTTATAAGCTCATACAATGTGATCAGATTGTTTTATGATGCCCCAATCAGACTGACAAATTAAAATGTAAGCATGTGACAACTGCAGATTTAAAGAAATGAAGTAAATAATTAAAGTTCAGGTTTCAAGCTGAATGAATGAATGAATTAAGAGCATAATGCGAAAGACCAACTTTTTGTTCTCATGAAAGAAAATGCTTTTTTTTTTTAAGGATCCTTTGTGAAACCGTGAAGGATTTTGTCGCCAAAGTGGGGAAGGCGTACGAAAAAAGCACGGACAACGCCGAGGAGTGCGACACGATGTCTCTGAAAGTAAGCGCAAACACTTATGCAACGCAGGCCTCATCGGTCTGGGCTGAGAGGCAACTTCCTTTTTCTGAAACTTCTGCTTTTTTTGCTCCGACCACGGCCTCTCTCAGTGTCTCTTCCCTTTTTTCCCGTCAGTGTGCCATCCTGAACGAGAAGCTGGACTCCCTCCTCCAGACGCTCAACGCCGAGTGCGCCTCCCTGCCTCCGCTCCCCCACGCCACCCCTCCCATCGTGGAGGAAGAGCAGGAGGAGGAGGAGGAGGAAGAGGAGGCCAGCGAGGAGAGCCTGACCGAGCTGAAGGGGAAGCTGGAGGAGGAGGAGACGGAGAAAAGGTTGGGGAGAGGCTCCCCGCACCAGCTGTTCAAAAGCAGGGAGCAGCTCATGCTCAGGGCCAACAGTCTGAAGAAAGCCGTGCGGCAGATCATAGAGCAGGCAGTGAGAGGTATATCCACCGTTGTCTTATCGGAGGAGCATTTTTATTGGAAGGAAGTCGCTCCGGGGCTGGAAGTGTTAAAACGCTTTTTGCTCTTTTCAGTGGTCGATGAGCAAAACGCCCACACCGACGACAGCGAGCTGCCGTCCCCGCTGGAGTTCCGGAAGGACAGCGAGGAAGAGAACAGGGACAGCGAGAAAGACGAAGACACCAAGGAACTAGAAGCGGTGTCCTGTAAGCGTTTTGGCTTTGGTTTACATAACCTGTCTGGCTGTTTTTTTCCTCTGTGTCTGGGGCCTGGTTCCCAACCACCAGGTGGACACGATACGTTTCACATATATAAGATACAGTGGGGGAAATAAGTATTTGACCCCTTGCTGATTTTTCAGGTTTGCCCACTTACAAAGAATGCAACGATGTATAACTTTAATCATATGTACATTCTGACAGTGAAAGACAGAATCCCAAAGAAAAATTCCAGAAAATCACATCATATGAATTTATAAAAATTGATAACCATCCGATGAGGAAAAATAAGCATTCTTTGTAAGTGGGCAAACCTGCAAAATCAGCAAGGGGTCAAATACTTATTTCCCCCACTGTACTTAACTTTCCCATCCTTGGCTGCCCGGTTTCCGTTTCTTTCGTTTGAATGGTGTCTTAAGGTGTAAGATAGTTGGAGCAGGTGGGGGGAAAAAGCTTTTCCCTCTCCTTGATGCTCAAAGTAAGGGAGAGGACTATACTGAGGATTCAGATGTTGCCACCTTGTGGCTGTTTCGCTCCCTGCACCGCGCAGGAGACCACATCTCATGGAAAAAAAAGTTCTGCTGACGCACATCACGTTTCCTGTCGTAAATAAACTCAGGGATTAGAGCTAAAAGCGACTCTCCTCTCCTGTGACATTCCACCTCTTCTCTCAGGCTGTGCTTTGTGGTCTGATCTGTGGTTTTCTACAGCAGATTTAGACCACAGAGAACTTCTTGTGTAAAAATTATCCTAAAAAAAACAACAAAAAACACAACGGCAGGGCCACGACTGCGTTTATACACAACTGGAGGTATCCGTCTTTGCTGATTTTGTATCTGGATGCCCAGGCAGGTTACTGTGAAGCATCTGTAAAAGTTTTGTGGATCGTCCACAGGATGTGTTTTTTGTCTCTGAGGTAGAAGTTCTTCCTGTTTATTGGGGGGCTGCTTCCTTCCTTCCAAACATTTTTCCAACAGTAAGAAGACAAGGAACCATCAGTCAAGCTTTCATTTTTGAGTTCTCTCCCTTTTCCTTGTCCCCTTGCTACATTTCTGAACTGGAAACAACTATTTATGAGCGTTAGTGGTCATTACACGTGCTCTAGGTTAGTAAAATCTATTCAAATCATCCAGTCATCGCCTAGCTTGGTGAAGGACTGGAAAAATTCTTTAAACCATCTTGTGGTCTCCTTGAGCAAACAAAGAACCGGGTATCTTTTCAAGTTTTGACTAGAATTAGGTTAGTAAAGTACGTGTTAGTAAAGTAAGTTACTTTGTTATTTGTTTTTGGCTCAGCTTCTTCATGCAATGTTGATATCCATTTTTACTTTTTTTTTTTACCACCAAATAAGAAATGAAATAAGACACTTTTTTATTCTAGGTCTAAAATGACTCTGAACTTTGGGTTTTCGTTTGTAAATAAGAGCTATAGCTGGACCACTGGCTAATCATCTCCTTTAAAATTAGATTAAATTGCTCCTCTACACCACTATGCAAAAGAGGGCATGGGAATTATATGACTTATTTATTTGCAATATTGCTTAAATTGTGGGTGAATATGTAAGAATATTGTTCTAAACTTTGGTTTAGCCGTGCAGGTTGTGCACAAACACTTTTTATTATATTTTGTTTCAAAGTTTCACTGGGTTTATCTAGCATAGTCATATTGTGATCAACTTTATGAAACTGGTTATCATCTATTCAGAAAGGTTACTCCTTTGTATCATAAGAGAAGGGATTATATTTAGCATATTCTGTCAGGTTAAGGAGAAGGAGCCACAGATGTATGAGAAAAACTTAAAGGTTTTCTGTGTGTTTGCAGCTGCAAAGAGTCCCTGTTCCCCAACAGAGAGGAGAGTGAGTCGTAGCACGCAGTCCTATGGTTCTTTCACCATAACGCCATTCACCACCAGCAAAGAAAACCTCCCCGTGCTCAACACTCGCATCATCTGCCCTGGTAAACTCACACACACACACACACACACACACACAGAGGCTAAGCTCCATCACATTACACCGTTTGACAGATGTGCAATGTGTGTGTGTGTGTGTGTGTGTGTGTGTGCAGGCTTACGGGCAGGACTGGCTGCCTCTATAGCCGGCAGCTCCATCATTAGCAAGATGCTACTGGCTAACATCGACCCCTTCGGCGCGACCCCCTTCATCGACCCTGACCTCGACTCGCTGTGAGACCCCGTCTTATTGCCTAACCGTCCGCGTCACCGCGCTGACCGGTTCCATGGCGTTTCTTCATCTTGTTCTTCTCTCTCCTCATGAACAGATTCACAGTGTATTTTGCACATGTTGGTCTTTCTCCATCCGTTTTTCTTTTTCTCCGTATATATCTACATACTGTTACACTCCCCTTTCTTTCTGTGTGGCTGTGTTTTTCTCCCAGAGAGGGCTATATGGAGAAGTGTGTCATGAACAACTACTTCGGTATCGGCCTAGATGCCAAGATCTCCCTGGAGTTCAACAACAAGCGAGAAGAGCATCCAGAGAAATGCAGGTGAGGCAGTGTTTTTTTTTCACTTCTCCAGAATCAATTTCAGTTGAAAGATTTTAAATGAAAGGATGTTTCATTCTGCTGATGTCAAAATCTGCACTTTCCTTGCGCAGAAGTCGTACTAAGAACATGATGTGGTATGGAGTTTTGGGTACTAAAGAACTTCTACAGAGAACGTACAAGAACCTTGAACAGAAAGTCCAGCTGGAGGTGAGAAGATCAGCAACAGGCATTCAAGTTCTTACTAACTGGCTTGTTCCGTTGGATAAAAAAAACAAAAAAAAGTCCTCAAAGTGGATTAAAGGGAGACAACAAATATTTGATGCTGAAGAACGTTGGTTATGTTGTGTGTCTCCCAGTGTGACGGCCAGTACATCCCCCTGCCCAGCCTTCAGGGGATTGCAGTATTAAACATTCCCAGCTATGCGGGTGGAACCAACTTTTGGGGCGGCACCAAGGAGGACGATGTGAGTATATTCACAGTCCGTTAGACGTTCGCCCTAAAACCATTTCAGCGTCGCGCTCCATCCTGCTTCCATGCCCTTGGTAGGCAACTCCGACCACTTCAGCAGAGGAAGAAGGGTGTTTTCCTCCTCAGGGAAGAAAACTGGCCAGACTCTCGGACCTTTATTTCCCATCTATTGTTAACTAATGAATGACAGTGTGGATCCCGCATTGACATGACTCCACTGGCCTCGGGTAGGGGCGGCCGAAGAGATATGTGTGCTTGTTTGTTTAAGGCTCAGAGCACAACGGCTGCTGAGCGATTACAGTGTCAGTTTGCACCCACACCCCTCAGTGAGGCCATGTGGAGGACAAAGGCATTTAGTTTTGCCTGGTTTTATATGACTGCCTCATCGGAAAGAAAAGGATAAAAACATAGATAGAATATCTCGATTGAAATCAAGTTGTTTTTTCTCAACTTCTGGGTTCTCGGCACGCATAACGGGTATCAAAATTTGATGACTTAATGAGTGCTTTGGCTTCTGTATTAGATCAGCATCTTCCCACATATTTCTAAATGTGTCCATCTAGTTTTCAATGAAAGGTCTCATGGATGTCATTTTGATACTGTGCAGATCTTCTGTGCTCCATCGTTTGACGATAAGATACTGGAAGTGGTGGCTGTTTTTGGGAGCATGCAGATGGCCGTGTCCAGAGTCATCAAGCTGCAGCATCACCGGATAGCGCAGGTGAGAGGACGCAGCAGCTAACGCCTGAAATGGAAACGCACAACCAGTTCTGTGGATCTGATCGGAGTTCTTGCTCACGTAGTGTCGAACGGTGAAGATCACCATCCTGGGAGACGAGGGGGTTCCCATTCAGGTGGACGGCGAGGCCTGGATCCAGCCACCGGGAGTCATCAAGATCCAGCACAAGAACAGAGCCCAGATGCTCACCAGAGACCGGGTGAGGAAGATCAGTGGGTCTGGAGATCATAGAATACAGATGGAGGACTTTTTTCAGCTTCATAATGATGATCTGGAATTTTTTTTTTTGTCTGCAGGCTTTTGAAAACACACTGAAGTCTTGGGAGGACAAGTTGAAGTACGATAAGCCTCCTTTGCGGCCTCACCTCTACCCCCAGCATTCTGTGGATCTCGCCACAGAGGAAGAAGCCACTCTGGTTCAGTTGTGTGCTCGAGCTGCAGAGGAACTCATCACAAGGTAGACCTGCTCTGTAGCGTGTGTCAGCTCTCAGTTTACGGGCGAATGGGCATTGGCAGACTAAATCGAGCCCACTGTCTGTGTTCTCTCTAAACGCAGGATATGCGAGGCTGCAAAGACCAACGGGCTTTTAGAGCAAGAGTTGGCTCACGCCGTCAACGCTGCATCTCACGCCATCAACAAAACACACCCAAAGTTCCCAGAGGTGAGCCACCAATACAAACATGACGGCATACTGTCAGTTCAGGACCGGACGTGATTGAATGAGTTTAGAAACAAGTTAAAACCGACACCAGCAGTTTCCATCCAGTTGATTTTTGTGTTGGATGGTCAGCAGGTGGCACTATAGGCTACATTACACATGGTTTTTGGCTTGGCTAACCAGGAACAAAACTCCTAAAAACAGTATTTGACTTCTTTTTTACTTAAGTGCATTGTCACATTGTCAAATATTGTCACACACTGCATCAGTTTCATAATTTGATTGTTTGTCTTTTGATACTAAACAGCAGTGTAATATAGGCATGCGCTGTTAAAATGACTTCAAAAATCTGTTTTCTAAAAGCTATTCATGCTTCATTCACAGAACGTGTAGTCTAGATATATGATAGTATATCATCATGAATAACTTTTGTGTTCCCTCTCTAGAACCTGACGAGGAACACAGCTATTGAGGTGGCCAGCACCGTCAAGGCGCTCTACAATGAGACCGAGTCTCTTCTGTTGGGCCGAGTCTCTTTGGTCAGTTCTGATATTAACTAGTTCATCATTTGATGGCTTGATAATACAGTAGTACTATGTGATAATGTGTTATTTTGTATTTACTTTCTATCTCATATTGCAGCAACTGGACCCGCCGGAGGAGGATCAGCTATCCAGCGCTCTGCAAAGCGTGGAGTTGGAACTGGGCAAACTAGGAGAAATCCCCTGGCTCTACCACATCCTGCAGCCCAACGATGAGGAGGTAAGCAGTCTAAAAAAAAAAAAAACGTATTCACCACCGTCTCTGTCGACTGGCTCACTCTACATTTACCCACATTGGAATTCAAATAGATTTAATTCTAATGTGGGTCATTTCATTATTTTTTTTTACATCGATCTTCATCTAAGTTACAACTGTGGACACCAAGAACTATGTCATCGCAGTCTTTAAATAGTATTCTATAATAAAGGGCCACATTAAGATAATTGTATTCAAGTAATATTTTCATATTTATTGCTGTTGTAATTCTTAGAAAATATATTTTATATACCAATGGAATTAGCTTGTTAAATAGATAAATCCCTGGATTGGTAAAAGCTTTGTGCGTGTCTTCCTTCAGTTATGGAGCAAGAGACAATATTTGTGTGTTCCATGGTTTCCGCAGTTTTAGTTCCATTCCCTGAGAGCGACTGCCGCAACAGAGAGAAGGCTGAGTGCTCAGTTTCTACTTCGTTTCAGGGTTACTGCAGAGGTTCACGCTGTACGACAGCAAAAACAAAGGCTGTCACTTGACTTAAGGTCCCAGTTATGGTCCCGTATACCTGTTTCTGGAAGAGTCCAACATGCTCTGAAAGCGACTCTAGCTGTGGTTCGTGTGAGGGTTTGAAAATTGACCATAAGTTCCCTCCTCTGATCCAAATGGTCTGCCGTCAGCTGCAGTAACTGCCCTCGTCCCGGTAGAGAGTCCCAATTTGTCTCTATAAGGTTCCGACCACGGTCCAGAATTATCACCAGTAATAGAGAGTTCATCTTTTTAAGTCGCAGTGATTTTCTAAATCATTTCAGGCTGTGCTAATTTTTGCTGCCTTTAGACATAAGTATGTCTATACTAGTGTTTTATCTGATGACTATTGCACCTTAAATTTGTTTAATACGTAGTTAGAACAAGTAGAATGATTGGACTTTGGCTTTGGATGAAGATCGTTTTCATTTTAAAATTACAAGCATCAAAATCATTTTGATTTTTCTAAATGTTCCCACTTTGTGTGTTGTTTGCTGTATTGTTCAGTGTATAATGGCTCCAGGTAACAAGAGAGTTGGGTAGCTAAATGAAAGGCTATAGGTTGACTGTGCTTATGTACCAGGACCACTCTCTGGGTTACGGCAAGAGGAACAGTCGCAGCAGCATGTTTCGAATAGTCCCCAAGTTCAAGAAGGAGAAGGCTGCCAAGAAGACCAGCCCTCAGTCAGGTAGGTCTGTGCCCACGTTCCCCCTCCCCTCTGAGCACAGTCGGGGTGTTTAAAATCTGCTCAGGACGGGGAGTCGATCGGGCGGGTCAGTGTCGGTCAGTTCGAGGTGATTAAAAACTGGCCGTCCCCCAAAAGTTGACGTGCACCAAAAACACGTGTGCGTCTGCCAAGGCCACACCCTCACCTCCATCACCTCGCACATCATGCATAAAAGGTGTTGCTGCCGCTTTGTGAGTAGAAAACAAAAGGAATGGGTGTGTGTTTGAGGTGTTACATCCCACAGTCTGAACAGAACCATCAACTTGCACCTCCCTTCCTTCCATTCATTCATGCTCCCATCCAGCCGTGAACATGTGTCCAAAAGGAACAAAAACCAGGAGAAGAGCAAGTCTGCGTCGTGGAAAAGCCTGCAGGCGTTCCCTGTTTCGTCTTTTACACAAATAAGCCATAAGAAAAATAATCATTGTTTCCACTTAAAGTAGAAAGGTAATTTCAGATTTTCTAGATTACCGAGTACTCAGCGGGTTTATGTTTTCAGCATAAGAAAGAGAAAGAGTGAGCCCTTCCTGCTTTGTTGGGCTGAACTTCCTGCAGACCACACAGGCTTCCGCCTCCCTGTATTTCCTATATCTTCCGCTTGTTCTGACAATGGTCTATGAAATGCATGCCCCCCCTCCCCCCCTCCCTTCCATCCCAACCCTTTCCTGAACACATAAGCCCGTCTTTACCGACCTTCGGTTCTTCATGTTCCTTCCTCTTCCACCGGCTGCTGCCACTGCTTTTTCTCTCTCCGACCTTCCTCTTGACGCTCTCCCACCTCATGATTGACCACATTTTGTGTGCCCCATGTGTGATGCTGTGCGCGTGACAAACCGGAGTGAGAAAGAATGCGCGCGCATGTAGGGGGTGAGAGACTTCGGGAGTGGTGGCACGTGCCGGTGGGTGTGTGTGGAGATCCCCGTGAGGCCCTCTGAGCCTCTCTCTGCTCTGCTTTGTGTGTGTGTGTGTGT